CTCGCCACTTGACTCTCTTCCTGCCTCTGGAATTCTGCTCCAGTCCTTACTGCACCTGGTTATGCAAAAAGTCCTAATGTCCTCAGTCAATGGCTCTGGAATGCCACTAGGCCTAAAGGCAAGGGATGGTCAGACCTTTATTTGCACAAGAAGCAAAGCTATGCACCTACAGCCTGCTTGTCTCCTAGGCTCTGTAGGGGAGTTAGTTACCTAGAGGATCAGTGTCTGAGAAGCTTACACTGTTTGCCAATATGGTCTAGTAGTATATGGGCCCACAAGAATTTCATAGCAGAAGATAGTTGAAATATTAAAAGCTAAAGAGCACCACATATTCCATGATAAATGGCTTCCTCTAGAAAAATGCCTTGAAATTTCTAGGTATAGCTTCAATACACAGCTGAATCTCTAAAACATATTCTTGCGGCTTGCAAGACACAGGCAAAGCAGAGGAAGCATGTAAGAGCCAGAGGAAAGGGTAAGTGGCACAGAACACTGACTTGTGGGCATGGCATGCACACTCACTCTTCAACTCATAGCAGTAGTGGTTACTTGCAAAGGAACAACACAAGAGTGGGCCTACCAACATCCTGGTATGGCAGGGAGAGGGAGTCATGAGACCCTTCCCACCCCTGAGAGTAATGGGTAGTTGCTGGGATGTGACATTTTCATTAGTGGTGTCGCCACTGGTAAGGTGCCTATACCCTTATAAACAACCTCCTGCCCGTGTGCTTGTGTGCAATCCTAATTAAGCTCATTTGGTCCTTTAAAAACAAAACAAAACAAAACAAGACATGAAAATAGAAGGAGTACAAATTAGGAAAAGGAATGGAATCAGCTCAGTGGGAACGGGAGGACAAGAGACGGTAAGGGGTGATTAATGTGATCAAAACACATTACACACATGTGTGACCCTGTCATGATGAAACTACTTATATAATTTGTGTATACTAACAAAAAATTAAATACCAAAGAAATAAAAAGTATGTTTTATGAGGAATACCTGATTTTCTTCTGGAATTTGGTATGTGCTAGGCAAAGAATGCCTTTGTGACCAACCCCTGGTGACTACCATAGACACTGAGTCTCTAGTGCCCGGTAGATATTTTACACGTGATAGGAAGATTTAATATATCCTGCAATTCTGCTGGGAGGCATTTAGGGTCCTGAGACTTCACTCATAGACCCTCTTCCTTTGCTAACTTGGCTTTGTATCCTTTTGCAGCAACAAATCAGTACCCACATGCTGAGACCTGTGAATCCTTCTAGTGATCATGAAACCTGGAGGTGTTCTGGGGACTCAAAACATGGTTAGAGACCTCAGATTATGACAGTTTTCTTATTGTTGTGACAAAATACTTCTGACAAAGGCAACTTAAGGAAAAATGAGTATTTTAACTCACAGTTCCAGATTACCATCCAGCATGGCAAGGAAACCACAGAGGCAAGAGACTGAGGTGGCTGGTCATATTGCATGGACAGTCAGGAAGCAGACAGGGAAGAATGATGGTGTGTAGCTTACTTTCTTCCTTTTTTTCAGTACATCAGTTAGAGTGGGCCTTCCCACTTCAATCAACTGAGTCTCGAAAGTCTCTCACAGACATACCCAGAGTTTATTTACTAAGTAATTCTATATCTTGTCAAGTTGACAAGCTGTATAAACAATCACACAGAATTTATAAAAAGGATAGGATGAAGTAATGTTCTTGGAAAGGCTTAGAGTGATACCTTCAAGCCAATGGAGTCTCAGTAAAGCCTACTGAAACAAGACCAAATAATAATAATTAATAATAGTAATACAACAACAATAATAAAGTGCCCCAGTCTGCTGCTAAGGGGAGCCCTCCAGGCAGAGGGCACTTGAGAGAGCTTGGGTTCCCAGGCACACTTCTATGGCTGAGACTTTCCTTCTCCTTTTATATTTTCTTCAGATCTGGTAACTGAACTCTGAGCACTGAGTCTCCTAAGCATGCTCTTTGATGCTGAGCCACATCCTGTCTCCCCTGTCCAGCTTCATTCTTCATTTTATTTTTGACGTTTCTCTTTGTTTATGCTTCTGTGAATTTCACTTCTTTTCTCTCCTAGCTTTTTCCTTATTTTTTCCCTCAAGTGTTTTTGATGTCATGTTTCCTCCTTTGTTTCCCTCTGTTCCTAACTCCTAACTCAATGCCACCTTTGTTCCAACTCTACTGCCTTCTCTCTGGCTCTTTCTCGCTTGCATCTCATTTATTATGATCCCAGCTTTGGATGCTACCTTTGCCTTAAGTTTTGGAAGCCCTGAAACACGGCTAATGATTAGCATCTCTGTCAGCTGAACCCTGGAGACAGTCTTCCTGAGCGAAGCATTATCTTGCTCCTACTGCTAAGACTGGGTGGGGATGTGTGTGTAAAAATGAGAGTTCCATTCAGTTTAGGTCTCCAGAATATTAGCGTCTTAAGAAGGACAATGATACATTCATTGTGTTTAGGTCTGTGTTTTTGTCATACTATTTGCCAAAGCTGAGAAAGTGTGGCCCTGTCCTGTAGTAAATACGCTGCATAGCTAAGATGTTTCTTGGGTACATGAAGCCAGAGGGTAGCACAGAATGTGCATTTAAGTCTGTTCTGCAGCCTGGCTCAAGTCACTAAAATCCCTACCCTCCAGCTTCAGCTGGTCCTTTGGGCCATTCAGCAACCTTTGTTCATCTTTTGTACATCCTATCAGGCACTCTGACGGCCTTCGCCCTTCCCTCTACATCATTAACTCTGATCCACAGATCTCACGTTGAACAGAGGTCCTCCTTCTGGTTTGTTAACAGTAAGTGGACAGAGAGCAAGCTCTCCTCTCCCCGTTAGCTTTCTCTGCACCATCCATGGGCATAGATCTCTTCCTATTCAAACTCGGTCCCTCACCTGTTCTCCTGATCACATCGCTTGCTCTCTGTGAGTAATCATCTCTTTCCACACAGTGCCACCAAAGTCCTCCTTTGTTAGCTTTTCACATACGACACATAACTATACTCAAAATGTTCCTTATGCAAACAAACAAACAAACAAACAAACCAAAAACCCAAATTGCTTTTTGCCTGTCTTGCTTTCCAGTGCCTCTGGTTGCTGCTCACATCTTTGCTAGCCATTTTCTAGCCAAACATCTGGAAAGAAGGCAGCGAACTTGTGTCCATTCACTTACCTCCCATTCACTCCACACCCCTGAGATTTTACTGTCAACTTCTAATCTCTCTATGGAAAATGGTGGTGGTAAGGATCTTTAAAGTTCTCCACACTGAAGAACCCAACAAGGCTTTCAACTTTTTCTGGGCCGACAGTGAAACTATCAAACTCCCATCCTTGAAACTTCCTCAAGGACACTTCTCTCCTTGTTTCTTTCCATTTATCTGAACATAGCTACTCTGTAGTGTTCTGAATAAGAATGTCCCCCATAGGTTCATATATTTTAATGCTCAGTCACCAGGGAGTGGAACCATTTGAAAGCATTAGAAAGATTAGTGGTACTGTGTGGAAAGAGATGATTACTCACAGATGATTACTCAACCTCTGAACTGTAAGGCAGCCCCAGTTAAATGTTTTCCTTTATAAGAGTTGCTGTGGCCATGGTGTTTCTTCACAGCATTAGAAACCCTAACTAAGACAGTAACCCTTCACAGCAGTAGAGCAGTGACTGAGACAGTCTCCCTAAAGGAATCTTCTTTTACATTTAATGTCAAGCACTAAAAGCTGAGACTGGCAGTGTGGCTCAGTGGTAGAGAGTGCTTGCCTAACGTAGGGGTTCAAGCCCTCGCAATAGTTTAAAAAAAGTTGAAATTCAATATTCAATTGTCTATTAGAGCCAGGCATGCAAATATACATCTCAGACATAATAAATAGTGCCAGAGTAATTATTAGGAGGGTTTAACATTGATCTTGATGTTCAAAAGGGAGTGAAGTCAATAAGGAACTCAAACGCTCAGACTTATTCAAAGGAAGACACTGACAGTCTCAGTGACTTACTGCTGTGTGAAGATGTAACCACTCTAGGGTCAGAACTTCCCCTTTAACAAACTCTAGAAATCTTTTTTAGCTGAAAAAATTCTGTTTTTTTTAGTTACTGGGCACAAAGTCACATTTAGCTGTGTCAATCAAGAAAAAAATATGCTGAACTTGTTTGTAAACTTGCCTTAAGCATTAGTGTACCTCATGGCCATACACTGGCCCCATAGCTATTTCTTTATGAATTCTAACTCTGGCTCCACGTTCTCGTGATTTTAACTCCCACAGAGGAAGTGAAGGTCCTCATTGCTGGCTTGGTTTTACCTGTGACAGCCAGGTTCATAAATTCATTACATGTTGCGAATTATGCTTGGATGTTCAGTATGTAATTCAAATTGCACATGCCCAAAGTTGAACTCGTGTTTCCTCAAATATCTCTTTCACTCTATCAGTCATGTGACACCTACCTCTTGGCTGGTCCCCCTAGATCTCTGGAAGCTGGTTTTGATTTTTGTTATTATCATTATTTGATACCATTCTTGGTTCTCTCTCTACAGTTAACAAATTGTGTCTGTCCTGTTCTGCTCCCACTGTTTTAGTTAAGGGCCAGAGTATCTCCTTCTTGAACTTCATATTAGATTCATAAGCATTCCTAACAGAACTGCCTATGTCTGTTTTTGTGGCATTTCTTTTCCTGGCCTAAACAGAGGCCAAAGTGATAAACTCAAATCTGTTAACTACACACACACATACACACACACACACACACACACACACACACACACACACACACATACACACACACACACACACACACACACACACACACACACACACACTTTAAAACATCCCAAGGCTCCCCAATGCCCACAGAGCTAAGTCCCCATTCAAAAGCAAAGCTTTCAGTTTTGCCCCTCATTCTTGTACTTGATGCCAAGTAGCCAATGGCTTCCCCCACACTAGTGCTTCCCGCCTCCTTTAACTCTTTCCACTCTGTCTTTTCAGATTCTCCCCAGCACCTTCTCATTTTCACTTACTGTTCACAACAGTTCTTTCTGAGAACCTTTCCTTAACTTCTAATTTGGGCCAAGATCCTTCATCTGTATCTCCAGAGTTAATTATGCTTAAGTGGTACAGCTCTTCCGATAGTGCGATAGTGCATTGTGTTTATAAAGTCATCTTCTCTCTCCAGCTGGCAAGTTTCCTGAGGAGAAGAATCATACCTTATTCATCTGTATGCCCTCAGCACACCTTAGCACAGAATACATCTACTGGACATGATAATGACTCAATAAATATAGCCAAACTAAACTAAAACCTCCACAGAGGAAGTAAAAGATGTAGCCCAAATACTTGGTAATGAAAAATGTTCCCAGTGCCAGAAAGGGACAGAATTGATCCTCAACACACAAAAGAAGGTCAATTCAGGAGGGAGTTCATATGTGCTTATGATAGCAAAACTATGGGAAGAAAACTGAGCTAAGTGGTTGCTGTGGATGTCTTTCTGTATGCTGTGAATATGTGTTTCTCTGATTGGTTAATAAATAAAGTGCTGATTGGCCAGTAGCCAGGCAGGAAGTATAGGTGGGACAAAGAGAGAGGAGAATTCTGGGAACAGGAAGGCTGAGTCATGAGACACTGCCAGCCGCCGCCATGAGAAGCAAGATGTAAAGATACCGGTAAGCCATGAGCCACTGGCAAGGTATAGATTTATAGAAATGGGTTAATTTAAGATATAAGAACTAGATAGCAAGAAGCCTGCCATGGCCATACAGTTTATAAATAATATAAGTCTCTGTGTGTTTACTTGGGTCTGAGCAGCTACAGGGGCTGGGTGGACACAGGAAAACTCCAGCTACAAGTGGTAATACACTGACATCCTGGAAGATGGGTTATAACCTCATTGAACTAAAGAGACAGATGCAGTCTTGGGCTGTGGAGTTGCAGGTTCCTTGTCAAGCTCCACTGAGGGAAGTGCTCTGCTGTTCTGCATGCTGCTCAGCCTCCATCCAGAAGACTGTGTCCTGCATCTGGATGTTTCATGTTTGCTTGACCAAATGAGGGATGAGAACCAGTCGTGCTAGAAGAGCTGAGGGTGTGTGATCTTCAAAAAGGCAAGCCTTCATGGAAACAGGAAAGGACTCTTATTTGAGAAAGCAAAACTATCTTCTCATGAGACATTGTCAGATAAAACTGTCATCAATGAACAAAAGCTGTAGGGAAGCAAATGACAACATCCTGTCAAGGACAATTGTCTGAAAACAAGCCTTGTCCAGAAAGTAATGAGGTGATTCACTAAGTAATAAGCATCCGTCCCTTGGGGTGTTTGAGAAGGAGCCAAGCATCCAGCTGCTGAGGCAGTCTGGGAAGGGGTGACAGGCTGAACAAGGTGACCAGAAGATGACCTTCCAATGTGAAGAGTCTAGAATTGGGGAACTACCTTCTTTTCTAAGGAGGCTGAAGTTATTTTCTCAGGTGAAAATGTAGAGAAACAAAAGAGCTGTTGTTCATCAACTCAACTCCCACATGCCTGTGTTTCTTCCACTTGGGAAACTTGGCCTTTTGCCTGCCTGCCTTCTCCAGTCATGTTCTCCTGCTCTCCCCAGGCTCTGATCTTTACCCACAAATAGATCCTTCAGTCTTCAGTCAGTCCTGATTCTAGTCCCGTTGGTATCCAACCTCACTTGGTGCTGCAGGAGTGTGGGAGCATGCCTCATCAACCTTGGACACACACACAATTCTGGAAAGCTACACAAGTGTAAGTGACTATCCTGTATGGGAGAGCTGTCAGCTCTCTATCAGCTCCCTCAGGGTTGGATCCATGGTGGGAGGGGACTTCTTGAGGAGGTTAAGCTGTCCTTTTGACTTTGATTTAAGCATTGCTGGGGGGTTAAACCTGGGGCCTCATGTGTATAAGACAAGCACTCTACCACTGAGATATAGCTGCCTTTCTTTTCAGTTAATAGTCTCCTAGGAGAGAGGAAATTTGGAGAGCTGAGCTCTTGAGAACACCAGAATAAGAGATTAAATGCAAAAATCAGAGTGAACATGTCAGTTTAACTAAATTTAGTCACACTAAAGTTCGTTACAAAAGAAATTTTCTAGAAGCTGGAGGTAGGCTGACTCCGTGGTTGTGACTCCCATTGTTCCTTGTGAGCTCTCTCTTGCACAGCTCATATACCACTGGCCACCCAACATGGATGGTGGGGGACCACAAAGGACAGAAGGAAAAGGGACTGAAACACTCCGAGTGTTCTCAATGCCCACCTTGGATTTTAACCAGCTCCTTCTTCCTGTCATTGTGGGTAGCAATGGCCTCATCCTAAGGCCATCGCTGACTTGTCACCCATATCCTCCAGCTCTGTATCCATTCCTATGCCCTGACCTCCTGTGATAGAACTTTGGAAATCAGCAGGCCTGGATCACTGTAAGTTTGACTATACTGCCATCAAAGCCAGGCAGTTTCACCCTGTCCATCCCCACACTGACTGTTCCCAATCCCCAAGGCCCCCTCCTGAGGACTTCTGCCCCCCTCTGTAGTGAGACCACCACACCCCAGCTTTCCTCCTTACTCCTGTCCTGCACACCCCAATGCATACAGAGGGAGCATCCTCTCAGTCAGGACCCTCGTCCCCTTGGATCTTGATTTGGATCCCTCCTACCTTACTGCCCCATTAATTGCTCTCTTCATCTCTGACTTTTGTCCCTCTAACTAGCTTCAGGACACACTCAGTGAATGTCATCCCAGCCCCTGGTTGTCTGACTCAGAATTCCCCAGACAGAGCTTGACATTCGTCATAACCCTTGCCCACATTCTTCACGTGCTTCCTTTCCTCAGTTCTCATTACCAGAAAGTGATGAGTACCAGGGACAGCCAGGAGCCCCGCAGAGGTGGTCCGATTGCTTGGTAGGCTTCTGCTGCAGGAACAGAAACAAAAAGGATAGTTTGAGCCAACACAGGTTTTGTCTTCTTGTACTCCAGCACAAATGCATTCAAAACTGGTTCACCAATTCTGATCAACATTCTTTCTGGCATACCCTACTGAGACTGATATCAACCGTTAAAAGAGTTCCCGGTATGTGACACTTGTAAATATATTAAATGGGCGAGTGCATATCTTTGACAATGAAGGCCTTAAAAAGAAACAAAAACCAAAAAACGAAACATTAACCCTTAGAAACCTGAGTAGCTTCAAAGTTTAATTTTTTTTTTTTTTTTTTTGGTTTTTCGAGACAGGGTTTCTCTGTGTAGCTTTGCGCCTTTCCTGGTACTCGCTTTGGAGACCAGGCTGGCCTCGAACTCACAGAGATCCGCCTGCCTCTGCCTCCCGAGTGCTGGGATTAAAGGCGTGCGCCACCACCGCCCGGCTCAAAGTTTAATTTTATGTTTCATGGAGAACGCCTAAGGGGTTTTCTGTCTGTTAACTTTTAAAATAGCTGATTTTACAGGTTTTTTTCTTTGCCCACAGATACACTGATGAATAAATCTTGACTAGACTAACACTTTTTTAAAAAGCAGCTTAGCTCCAACTATAGTAGGCTAGGCATTTTCTGGCCCGTCACAGTAGATTGTTAGGATTGAGTCTAAAGCCCTTTTGTAAGCCCAGCGGTCACTAAATCAGCACTTGTTTTCCTGGCCTTAGTTGTTAACTGCTCATTTGGCAAAATGCCACGTGGTTAATCATGTCCTGGCTTCCTAAATCTCTCTGTTTTTAACAAGAGCCTTCATTTCCTGGGCTGAGCTGCTGCCCAGTGTTCGAGAACTGAGGCGTAAAGCCTGGGTTTTCAGAGGGACGTGATAGCTCCTGAGCAGGTGACTGGAAAAAGATACCTGCCAGCTACATCTCATGTAGTCACAGGTGGTTACAAAGAGAAGGCTGCTGAGATGTTATAGGCTGGGAGCATTAAAGCTTAACTTCTACAGTGGCTACCACATTCACTCTCAGGAAGACTGTGGTTGCTGGCATCAGTGCAGGGCAGCAAAAAGTTGATTTCAAACCTTTGTGTTAATCAAATGTATCACTACTGTTCTTCTTAGTTGGCCTTAGAGGAAAGAAATGTCATAAACATTTAAACATAAACATGTAAAAGTTTATACTAATAAAGAATGCTTATGAGTATCTATCTGTAAGGGCTCCAGGGAAGTCTTGAGTGTTAAAAGGCTCTTCTATTTAAAAGTGTTAGGTCTCAAACCTGGGACAGATGGCTAACTGAGGTGCCTATTTAACATACCAAAGCAGACCTGGCCACCAGGTTCTCCCAGCATCCCTCAGTACCTACCTGTTACAGGGTATGACTGGTATACCCTGCCCTCTACCCTCAACTCCAGCCCAGGGGCTGGGCTGTTCTTCCTCCAGCTGCCCATCCCGATATAATCCAGCCATTTTGGTTGCCTGGCCTTTTTTCTGTCTATCCTTTATTCTCCTGGCTCTCTACTCCCTTTTCTCACATGGCCTAGCTCAGGGTCATGCTCACTCTGGACTCTTGCAGATGTCCCTGCCTCTGGCTATGCTCTCCCTTTGGTCTACAATAAACCCTTTCCTCCACCATACCTAGGAGCTGTAATGTCCTTTTTTTTCTTTCTTTTTTTTTCCTCATTCAAGAAGGATAGAAAAGTACTAGGAGGTCAGCATGATGGTTGGAAGATGTTTGCTGAGGGAAGAGAAAGATTTTCTTCCTTAGAAGTCACAGGGTTAAGTGAGACCATCTAGAGAAAGTATCTAATATCTTGCCTGGCAAGGAAGTTAATAACGTTTGGTGAAAAGGAGGGAGGAGATAGGGAAAGGTTAGCCAGTGTCTTGGTAACAAACAACCATGCCAGACACCTTTGATTTTTTTTTTTTTCAAGCTCCTCCTCTCCATCCTGGCCAGTGAATGAAAATGAGGAGATGACCATTCCAACGCATGGCTGAGGAGAAGTTTTTATTGTAGATCCCGGGGTGAGACCAGCCAGAGGCACCTGGAAGAATCCAGACGGAACATGGCCAGCAGAATAGACCAGGCTGTGAGAAAAGAGAGAAAGGGAGAGCGGAGATCGAGAGAGGAAGAGAAGAGAGATGGACAAGAGAGGGCATCGGGAGAGGGAGGAGAACCATGAGACCAAGAGCACGTGGCCAAAACGGCGGGGTTTTTACAGGAATCAGTAGCTGGGGGGAGGAAAGGGAAGTCCCTGGGCTGGAGAAGTTTAGGGTAGGATGCTGGGTGCAAAGCGCTGAGAGGAGCCTGGACAGAACAGACACTGGCCATGCTAAAAGAGCCTAGAGACCTCTCGGATGTTAATTGACCCTGCGGTTAGTCTTTTGTCCAGGGTTTCTTTGGGGCCTAACAGATAAAAGGCTAACCCAGCAGAATCCACCATCACCAGGACTTTTTTACCTTGGGGCTTCAACTCTGAGCTGTAGGAGGCACTGGGAGTAGCCTGGAGGGTGTGAGGAGGGAGTGAGGTGTCTTCTCCCGGGCCCCTGCCTCAGGCTGGCTTTGTTTCACCAGCCCTTATTCTCCCTCTCACAAGGATCTCTTTTCTCTGTCTTCCTCCAAAGAGTCCTGGCAGAGGCTCCTCTCCTCCTCTTTGGAGCTAGGGTGTTAACAGTCTCTCACTGTTGCTCATTCTGGTCGCTGGCAATCCCTTGTGGCTTTCCCAGGCCACACTGTTATCAGTAGACGTTTATAAATGGCCTCTTGTTGAATTATTCGATGTGATAGCATTTGGACTCTTACTTGGGGCATTTGATCCTCTTGTAAGGGAAGTTGCCCCCTTGGAGTCTGTACAGGACACACCCAGACACCAAATTCTCAGCACAAAGGGGACTTATTACCCCGGAGGGACAAGTGTGTGGGTGCTGCAAAGGCAGATGGCAAGCAGCAGCAGGCGTTTTTTGTAGGAGTGGGTTTTTAAGGAGAAAAGGGGGAGTCGGTGCTAGGCTGAGTTGGCAAATCCTGATTGGATATGTTAGCCAAATAATGAATTTTGATTGTTGGACCTTGCTGTTTTGTCTCAGGAATGAGTCCGTGGCCAAATAAGGGAATGGCCATGGGGGGACTAGCTTTAGGAATGTAATCTAACTGTTTTTTAGCAAGGGAGAGGGAAAAGGAGAAAGGGGCAAACCCTACTGACATCATGTTTGCCATGCTTGGGCCTGTGTTTGCCATGCTCAGTCCAGCTAGGGCCCTTTACATCTCTACATCCCTTTACCTTTTTCCTGCCTCGGAGTCCCAGGATACAGACCTCCAATGACTTTAGCCGGTGGGATTCACCATCAGGAAACAACGGGGTGGGAGGAAAGAGAAATGAGTTATTTACTCCCCACCCCAGCTAGGCTTTTGTGTGGCAGTTGCTGGGTTCCTCTATATAAGACCATAGTTCCGGGCTGAGGTCCATTTCCCAGGGTTCAACTCTTACCCAGTCTTTTATTGTATCTTTCCAACTCTATGGACGGAAACAACTTTGTCATGTGGTGCTATATGACTGCACCATTTTTGCAAAATAACCTTCTCATTAAACTCAATTACTCCTAAAGTGTATCCGCTTCATGCCAGGACCCTGACTAGTACAGTGGGTTTTAAGACTTGTGGCATTATACAGAGATTGGAGGGTCTTTTCTTTATATATAATGTATTTTGGTCATATTCTTTCCCTCCCCCAGTTACTCCCCAATCCTCCCCTCCCTACCTATCCAACTTCATATTTTTTCTAATTCCCTCAAATAAAGAACAAAACCACCACTAAACAAAACCAAACAACAACAACAAAAATGTGTTCATTAACTCTTTCAATTCTTTTTAAAAATTTTTTTTTGGTTTTTGAGATTACAATATAATTACATCACCATTTCCCCCTTCCCTTTTCTCCTTCCAAGCCCTCCCATATATTTTCCTTTTCCCTCTTAATAAGGCTGTGACATTGTTTAAATTCAGACAAGCAGCAAGGGCAATGGCTTTCCTTCTTTTCACTTCCTATTTCAAGATTTTTAAAATGTTTGAAGAGCATTAAAAAAAAGGCCATTAATTGGTCCTTTGTCTAATTTAGGCAGGGTGTATAGCAGTACAAGTAGGTGACAGTACAAAGCAGTAGAAACCTTACACATGAATAAACAATGAATTAATAACATATGGGAATCTTCCACCATAGAATTCAGTTATATGAAAGGATA